CCATTCTGGAAGGTCAGTGTTTGGACATTACAGGTTTTTATGTTCCTCACATTCTTATGAGTGGAACCATGATGAAGACCAAGAAGTCTTCCTCTTGCCTGAGACGGACCAGGACTCAGAGGACAACTTCAGTGCATTTAACACAGTCTCTGTTTCTTTTCTTTGTCGACCAAGGACTTTGTACTAACTAACACAAGTAGGGAAAATGAGAAATAAAAGTTTCTTTCTCCTCAAAGGAAATAGTCAAATTGATTAAATAGGCTTCGAAGTTTGGCCAAGAAATTTACCACCATTGATTTGGTAAGAGATGTCTACATTCCATACAATTGCATTTTGTTGGGGCCTTTTTATGGACTGCATAATAAAGTGTAATAGATAAACAATGAAACTTTAAAAAATACCTATTCTTTCCAAATTTTCAATTTTTTTTTCATGTGGACAAATTTATCAGTCTTTTCTGGTGAGAAGCAGCATTTAATTTTACCTTTTTGTTTATTTGTTTGTATCTTTCCTTTGCATCAAGAATCAAACTTCAGTATCCAGATTCATGTCAGTTCTTTTAAAAACTTAATAACTTAGAAGTCAGGCAACTTCAATAATAATTTAGCCTTTGTCATTTATTTTCTGTCACTTTGGATAAGTTACTTCATTTAACTGAAGGTGATTTTTATCATCAATAGAAAGAAGACTTGACATTCTAGAGATCCTTTGTGGTAGTTTAAAAATATATCCACAAATTATTTGATTCTCTTCCCTTTAAATGGTAGAATTTAAATTCTCATTGAGTATGAGTTGGACTTAGTGACTCACTTGTGGTGAATAGAAGCATATGGAAGAACCAGGGGTATGTTATTTCTAAGCCTAGGTTATAAAAGGCATTCCAAATTCCTCTTTGGGCTCCCTGTCTCTCCCATGGATCCCCTGATCTGAGGAAAGCCATATTCTATGTGGTGAAGGTACTCAGGCAGCCTTCTGGAGAGGCCCATGTGGCCAGGAACTGAGGCCTCCTACCAACAGCCAGTGAGGAACTGAGTTCTCCCAACAACAAGCACAGAAGTGAGTCATCCTGGAAATGAATGCTCAAGTGCCAATCAAGCCTTTAGATGACTGCAGCCCTATGCAACATCTTGACTAAAATCTCAGCAGAGACCCTGAGCCAAAATTACCCGATAAGCTACTGCTGAGTTGTTGACTCTCAGAAATTGTGAGATCAGTTTTTAAAACAACATATGTTTTTTTTGAAGCATTAAGTTTGAGGTAATTTGTTATGTAGTAATAGAAAACTAACATATCCTTGAACCTTACCAATCCTTCCAGTTTGTTTCCATAATTTTAACACAGGAGGATACATTACTCATATTTTACATGTTGCTTTGCCTATTATATTTTAAAACATATCCTCGAACAGCTTGCGTTTCATATAACAAAACATTTTCGAAAACTAAACAACATTTTGAATAGCAATATTTTTTCAGCTGAATAATTACTCTTTTGATGGCTTATATGTTTTAATAAAATGAGATGTAATGAAATTTATCACCTTCCATAGGGTTCTGGAGCAGGAAGAACTCTTAGGTCCTTAGAGGGCCATCAAAATGGATGGGAAGCTCTTGACATTATATACAATGTGTTATGTTAAGAGCATTTTCTAAGATAGATATCTGTATCTTGTCCCAGATATTCATAGTCTTGAACCCCTCATCTACCACCTTAAAAAAAAAAGAATTAAGAACCACTAATTTGGTTCAGGGACACAAGTGAGTGACTTGCCCATAAAAGTTGTCTGACTCTTAACTCAGTGCTCAGACTCCAGCCTGTGAGATCAATTCTACCTACAAGAGGCATCTTAGGGAAGAACTGGTTTTTATCAATGCTGTCATGTGTCAAGACCCTCAAAATAGACATGTACACTTAGTATTTTCGCTACTGCCTACCTCCTGTTTGTTCACTTGATCAACTGCTTCAGAAAGAAGGTGGGATGGATCTCCCCCAAAAGACCCTCTTCCTGGCAGGCCTCATAGATTGGTTCCTTTTGTGTAGCCTTGACATTGAAGCCCTCAGGAGCTCAAAGTGCTGCTTCACCATGCTGGAATCTGAACTCACTCCATGGAAGATATGCTTCTATAACTTGATTACTGTACGTAAATCAGTTGTATCTACATTGGTTTTTGAAACTTCACCTCATTGTATTGTCATTACTCATTTCTTTCTAAACTAAGTCAGATGTAAATATTATCAGCATAATAAATTAATAGATTTGGCTTCAAAAACTGAAAAATCAAAGTTAAATCCTAATATTTATGTTACTTCAGGACATATTATCCCTGTTTAAAAATTAGCAGTTGCTAAGTAACATTCATAGATGCCTGAAAACTAAGTATAAATCCTTGGTTGGAAAATAGGAACGTAACTTGCATTCCTCTTGCATGTTTCACAGTGCTAGTTATTCGTTAGTTTCTCTTTATTTTATTTTTTATCTTGTACCGAGCATTGAACTCAGGGGCACTCGACCACCGAGCCACATCCCCAGCCCTATTTTGTATTTTATTTAGAGACAGGGTCTCACTGAGTTGCTTAGGGCCCTGCCATTACTGAGGCTGGCTTTGAACTGGTAATCCTCCTGTCAGCCTCCTGAGTCACTGGGATTACAGGCATGTGCCACCATGCCCAGCTCATTAGATTTTCTTTAAATACCTCATCACCAATAGTGCTGAGTACTCACAGTGCCCAAAACTGGGCTGCTAGAAGAAGCTGAGGGAGCCCATGTGACAAGTGGCCAGGGAGGAAAGTGCAGGAAATCCTGGTTTTACCACCGCCTGTTACAGCTTAAGCGCTCTGTACATCAGCTTTACCACGACCTCATACAAACCTTCCATCCATCCCATCAGCCTCATGAACACCAGGACAGTCTTTTTGCTATGACCAAAGACAAGCCAGAGAAACCATGATGAAACTACAGTCCTGGAGAGAGTCAGGCTGAGGAATCTGTGCCAATGTCATGAGCTGCCCACATAGGCCCAGGCTGGGCTCCTCCCACTGAGCTCTGGAGGACATCAGCTGTTAGAAGATCCTGGACCAAAGGATCCACCACCATCAACCGCCCCAGCCACTATCCTGGGTCTAAGGACACTATCCTCCCTCTCAAAGGGTGGGAACCCAGACTCAGAGCCGTGGAAACGGTCCCAGGATTTCTGAATGCAGAAGTATCCAGCAAATCCAGCCCTGTAGCCTAACTTATAAAACAGTTTGTAGCACGAAAATAAAATTGACTCAAGTACTGTTCAGGTATATTGATTTTTCCATAAACCAAAAGATATGAGTCCTTTTGACAAGAAGAAGGGACATGTTTCCTATGTTGATGATTTTTTACGAAAATAAAAACAGTTATATATTTAAAAGCGATTTCAAATTAGCAGATTAACCTTGTCAGATGAAGAAGGAAAAAAAATCCTTTGACAAAGGAATAAAGTTTAAGCTTTCAGGAGGTTGAATTTAATAATAGATGGCAGCAAAGAGCAGAAAAAAGATCCTTGAAAGTTTTCTGAAGAAAAACTAAGGTAAGATTTTCTAAAGGGATAGTATATATAGCAAGTTATTTATTTTTAAAAACAGGGAGACTGAAGAAGAAAGGAGGGGCTAGGGATGTAGCTCCGTAGTAGAGTATGTGCTTAGCATTTGCAAAGGCCTGGGTTCAATCGTCAGCACCACCATGCCCCTTAATCACCACCCCCCACCCCCAAAACAAAAAGAAGAAGAGGAGGAGGAGATGAAAGAGGAAGAGGGAGGAGAGAGGAGAAAAAGTCTTTTGGTAGTGATGGCATTCAGGACATGCCACCCCAAAGCTTGGTACCTTGTCATCTGAGAAAACCTCAGAGGCAGGAAGGTCACTCTGACCTTGTGTCCTGAGGCAGGTCACAAAACCTAGGGGGAATTTTCTGACTTTCCCTGAAACAAGTCATAGACTCTTATGTGTGAGAGATCTTCCCTATGCCCAGAGAAAAGGAAGGCCCTCATCTCTAAGAACACTGGAACATACAGAAGAATCTGAAGAAATCCACAGGCCTTGGCAAATGCCCCCCCCCCCCCCCCCCCCCCCCCCCCCCCCCCCCCCCCCCCCCTCCCCCCACCACACCCACACCCCGCCTCCCCAGGTCACTACCATTTGTTCATACCCTTTGGTCCAATCATAATATCCACTTATTCATCAAACCTGCATAAAAATACACCAGAATAACTGTTTCTGAGGGTCTTTGTGTCCTTATGAAGGAAAGCTTCTTTGTCACATAAAACTTACTTTAAATAAAATTTGAATTCTTTTCTCTTGTTAATCTGTCTTCTGTTATAAGGACCTCAGCCGTGAACTTAGGATGGGCTAGGAAAAGATCTTTTTCCTCCTCTTCGGTGGTGTTCTTTGAATCTACCCAGAAACCCTTTCATCTGAAAGTTTAGAAGTTCACTAAAATGATGTCATTTAAGAAAACAAGTGTGGTTTGGTGATCACATCAAGAAAACATGCCTACTTTAGTCCTCGATTAAGACATGCAGCTCTGCCCAGAATTGGTTGTGTCAGGCTATGATCATTTGCTCACCACAGATCACTTTAGAGGGGACTTTTCAAAGCAGAATCAAAATATGTACAATGGGATTTAAATTGTTTTTATAATAGGAATGCCAACATTTAAAATTCTGAATTTCACTAGGAGATCTAAATGTCAGCTTTCTTAAATGATTAAGAATCTTGATTTTGCATGCAAAACACACCAAGTATTCATTGAATGTGAATTAACAAAGCAAAATTAAAAGGAAAATCTACAACACAGAAAATGTGAAAGAGCCAAGTTAGCAAATATAAATAGTGCATCTTTCACTATCGACTTTGCTATTCTTGTGCTCAAGAAATAGTTACTATTAAAAAAACATGGCTGGCCAGTGAGTCCAGAGCAACTCTACTAAATCAAATAATGACTAAAAATGCTTCATTTTCCTCTTTTATTCGGTAGGTATTATTACTTGGCATTCAGAGCACATCAAACGCCTCCTGCTAGTAAAGAGAGCTGTGCTGCTATCTTGGAAAAGTCCAAATTGGATCACTGGGTACTGGGGAAAACAAAGGTAGTTCTTTCTTTATTGTTCACATCATCCCTGTGTGCTGCTTTCCGGTGTGCCTGTATTTCTTGTTGCTGGTATCTCTGGCAAGAATAGCTGTGTAAGGGGTGTAGCTTAGCAGGCAAAAGCCTAACTTAAAAAGGGTCTTTGCTGCTCTTGAGCCCAGGCACCCTAGAGGCCAGAGGAGGAAAGTTGCCTCCTCTGTTCTGCATGTAATTTGAGAGTCACTTAGCATTTCTAGACTGACATCTTTGAGCTCCCTTTCAAATGTCCCCTTTTCAAGACTCTGTATTCTAGCACACGTGCAAATATACAAATCATATTAATGGCAGTGATGAGTTTCCTTTGGAGTTCTGTGCATTTTTTCATTAGACTCATGTTGTGCTATTTATTGCCTACCTTGTTTATTAGTTTCATCGTGTATAGGTTTTCATTTGGGAGAACATCACGCCCTTGCAGGATCCCAGGATTTTATGGCCCATCCTGAATTTCCCCACAAAGCCAGCTTTAGCCCAAGAGCTCATAGCAGCACCGTGCTCCTCAGCAGAAATTAGATCAGCGTGGGTCATGCAGGTTCTTCTCCCTCTGACTTCCTCCATGGGCCAATGGTCTGTCCTGTTGGTGGTACCTCCATTAGAGGCTGTGGGGAACAAGGAGAGAGAACTCAGGCTGAGAAATTGGAACTTCTGACTGACACAGGGCAGCCTGGTGAGCACCTGGGACCCATGATACCCCATAACATCATCATCTGTTTACATCAAGAACCAAGGCTTGGCTCAGCTTGAGAAGGAGACTTGTATTTGTCCCCAAGAAGTCAGTGACATGAGCATTTGTCAAATCACTGTAAATGTTAATTAAATAATAACTTTAGCATTTACCTTAAGAATATATTAGGGTACAGTGGATTTCTGTTGGAAAGCCCATATATAATGCTAAAATTAATATATCCTTTCAGGTTTTTCTCAAATACTACCATGTCGAGCAATTAAATCTGCTACTGCGAGAAGTCATAGGCAGAGTGGTTATCCTACAGGCGTATACCAAGGGGTGGCTTGGAGCCAGGAGATACAAAAGAGTCAGAGAGAAGAGAGAGAAGGGTGCCATCACCATCCAGTCAGGTAAATGACCTGTTTTCATACAGTCTTCTGAGTACTCACCTTCTATTAGTACTGGGGCTTACCTGTACCAGGTGATAGGGATGTAGCCTTGAGAAAAATGCCACAGTTCCTGAGTTTGCAGATGAGCACACAGTCATTGTGACAAGACAGAGGCAGTATGAGGGGCCCAATGGTGTCACATCCCAACCACACCCACACGTGCCCCGTCTCTCAGAATTACTAGTGCGACATACACTCAGGACCATGCATTCACATCACCCCATCAGAGGCTGGCTGGCTTTGCTAGCCCACCTGGAATGTGTAGACTAAGGAAACCGACCATCAGGCTCCTTTCCCTCTGCCTGGCCCTGTGAGTGCCTCGTACACGTGTAGGAGTCACTGTACTATCAACAGCAGCTGAGCTTCTGTGCTATGGACAAGTGGTTGTAAAAACACCAGATCTTTTTCTTTTTCCTTTAAAAAAATTTGTTCTTTTTAGATATACATAACAGTAGAATGTATTTTGACATATTATACATACATAGAGTATGATTTATTCTAATTAGGATCCCATTCTTATGGTTGTATATGTTGTGGAGTTACACTGGTTATGTAGTCATATATAAAGATAGGAAATTACGTCCAATTCATTCTATTGTCTTTCCTATTCCCATTCCCCTTCCCTCTCCTTCATTCCCCTTTGTATAATCCAATGAACTCTATTCTTCCCCTCCTGACCTTCCCTTGTTACAGATTAGCATCCACAGAGAGAATATTCGGCCTTTGGATTTTGGGGACTGGCTTATTTCACTTAGCATGATATTCTCCAGATTCATCCATTTACCAGCAAATGCCATAATTTCATTCTTCTCTATGGCTGAGTAATATTCCATTATGGATATATACCACATCTTCTTTATCCATTCATCTGTTTTAGGGCACCTAGGTTGGTTCCCTAGCTTGGCTTTTGTGAATTGAGCTGCTATAAACATTGATGTGGCTGTGTCACTGTAGGATGCTGATTTTAAGTCCTTTGGGTATAGACCAAGGAGTGGGATAGCTGGGTCAAATGGTGGTTCCATTCCAAGTTTTCTAAGGAATTCGCTGCCTTCCATAGCGGTTGCACCAATTTACAGTCCCACCAGCAATGTATGAGTGTGGCTTTTCCCCCCACATCCTTGCTAACATTTATTGTTACTTGTATTCTTGATAATTGCCATTCTGACTAGAGTGAGATGAAATTTCATTGTTGTTTTAATTTGCATTTCTCCAATTGCTAGAGATGTTGAACATTTTTTCATATTTTTGGACCATTTGTATTTCTTCTGTGAAGTGCCTGTTCAGTTTCTTTGCCTATTTATTGATTGTTGTTTTGTTGTTGTTGTTTTGTTTTGTTTTGGTATTAAGTTTTTTGAGTTCTTTGTATATCCTGGAGGGTAATGCTCTATCTGAGGTAAAGGCGGTAAAGATTTTTTCCTGTTCTGTAGGCTCTCTCTTCACATTGTTGATTGTTTCCTTTCCTGTGAAAAAAACTTTTTAGTGTGATACCATCCCATTTATTGATTCTTGATTTTACTTCTTACGTTTTAGGAGTCTTGTTGAGGAAGTTGGTTCCTAAGCCAATATGGTGGAGAGTTGGGCCTACTTTTTCTTCCAGTAGGAGCAGGGTCTCTGGTCTAATGCCTAGGTCCTTGATCCACTTTGAGTTGAGTTTTTGTGCAGGTTGAGAGATAGGGGTTCATCTTCATTCTACTACCTATGGATTTCCAGTTTTCCCAGCACCATTTGTTGAAGAAGCTATCTTTTCTCCATTATATGTTTTTGGCGCCTTTGTCTAGTATGAGATCACTGTATGTAAGTGGGTTTGTCTCTGGGTCTTTTATTCTGTTCCATTGGTCTTCATGTCTGCTTTTGAAAGCACCAGATCTTGACCATGGTGGATGACCTCCTTCACGCTCTCAGAACCCAGGACCACCATGTACGGAAGAATTGTGATGCTCAGGCCAAGGTGAGCTACTGCTGCTGCTGTTGCTGGGTGGCTTCTGCTTCAGTCTGCATCTGAAGGACTCACCCAGCCCCTTCCTCTGTCCTGTCCTCTTCAGCTGTCTTCCTTGCCTTTCCCCTTCCATGGCCACTTCCCCTCCCTGAGCACCCTTCTTGCAGAGTGTTCCTTATTTCCCTGGACTCCCCTCTTTTATCTCTCTCTCTCTCTCTCTGACTTTCATGTTTATATCTTTCTCCTAAATACAAAATATTAAAAGGACCAGTCTATTTCAGTTCTTCCACCACCCCTCCAGCCCCAGTTTCCCCCCATCCTCCCCATGACCCCAAGTCCCGAAGACAGGTTTTCCCCATGGATTGGAATGCCAGGGAACCACCTCACCTGGCGTAGCTGACCCAAGTGATTCCTAAGTAGAATTCAGCGTGCTGTGGAAACTCGCTGCTTAAACAAACCAAAAATAAATGCCTCCTCAGAAGCATCTTGGAAGCCAAGCTACCAGTACACAGAGGCCCCACTTCCCCACCAGAGCTCACGTAGCTCTACTCATTTTGTTCAGTGAGAAAGCAAGAGGGAGGAGGAGAGGCATAATAGATTGGAGGGGGAAGCAGCTTATATCAATTCTCTGGCACGTTCTTAAATTAATGTCATTCCTAGCACATGGTTTTATATTTTTAGCCTGGAGAGGATATGAAGCTCGGAGCAAATTTAAGAAAATAAGCAACAGAAGGAGTGAGTCTGCTGCTCATATTCAAGCAGGTAATTCAAACATCATTTTAACAGTGTCCACCTGAAAATATTCACATGCAAATATGTGTAGAAAGGCTGGAAAGCTAATAATAGGAGCCCTGGGGTAAACCAACAGTTCCAGTAGGGGGGTCCTCACGTTTGTTCCGACACCCCCACCCTCATGGGTCACAGTGAGCATTTGTAGGTGCCAGGCTTGACTAAGGAGGCTCTGATAGTCCTGATTTTCTAGGGAAAGAAACTGAGGCACAGAGAGGTGAAGTTACTTGTCCACCATCTCATAGCTTATAGGTGGCATTTGAACCCAGACATACTGCCAGCTGGACAAATCTCTTTCCCTCTTGGAGTCACAAGTCCCTCATCTGTGCAACCACAACACTGGTTTAGAAGGTCTCTGATTATTTGCAAGACCTGTCTGTCTCTCAGCATTGCAGAGAAGGAATTTCACTCAGCCAACTTTCCCAGCCATCAGAGTTTCCCCAATCCAGACCTGTATATAGCTCGTGTGGTCCTCTGGGCCCCAGGGGTGAGCACATGGTGGCTCTTATGGCTCAGCTGGCCCTTGGCAGCCTGAGAACCACGTGCTCTGGTTACTGGCTCATCTGTCCCCTCCCTGGCTCTCAGGTCACTCTGCTCTTCTGCAAATGGCATGTCCACTGTGGCTGCTGGGCCAATCTCCCTTCTTCATTTGAAGCTGTATATTCCTAATTGAGGATCTGGAAGAAACAAGCTCCTATGTGTGCCAGGAGCTTCAGGAGCACAAGAAATTGGAGATGGAGTGAGAGAGTCAAGGCCAGTGAGCTCAGCAATGGGGAGCAAGATAGGGTTTCAGAAAAATGCCAAGCTGGAAGCAAATTCTTGAATAAGACAGCTGCAACCTTTCAAACAGGTCCCTACACAGAACTCAGCTCCCAGGATACTTCTGCGAACTGTCTTAGACCCCAGTGGAGGCCTGAAATCTTCATTCAGAATGAAAATATTTTGGAAGCCATTTAAATGCAAATGTGTAACTTTTTAACATCATCCAGTACAATTCTAAGCTCAAGAACCTCAAAGTCTCAGGAAGAGAACAATTCACCTTGCATCTTTTCTCTGCTTCCCCAATACACAACACACACACACACACACACACACACACACAATCTTCCATCAAAAGAGGATACCAGGCTAATTTCAGATCTTATGCTTTGGCCCAAATCTCGACACATTTAAAAATATAAACTTGGAGCTTGTACATTGGTTAACACAGAGTATGTAAAGATCATAAATCCAGTTTTCCTTCTCTGAATATCATCTTGAGAGGCTCCCTGTTTTGCACTGTGTAATGCCAAATGAATGCTGCATCAAAGCAGAGACGGCTCTGCTGCATCATCATGCTCAGTGTAGCACCGGCAGGCTGGGTGCCTTGTGGAACTGGACAGGACGCATTTCTTTAAAGTGCCTCCTCCTTTTTTTTTTATTCCCCAAAGCTTTGCAAACACCCCTCTTCCTTAGCCTCAGAGCCAGTGATCCCAACTATCCAGTGATGTGGGGACACACAGTAACCAACTCTGCAGGGTCTTAGGCAGGCATGAAGGTGGCACCAATGCCACCACTTCCCTGGTGGCAGCCAAAGAGAAAGCAAACGATGTCTCTGCCCTTCAGCCAATTCCACAACAGGACCGGTGTGCTGGTTTTGCATTCCAGAAATAGGATGGCAGCATTTGCGATTTCATAGGCAGAATATTTGACTTAAGAATGTTTTCCTCGATAAGCTTAGATTTGAAGGCATTGTTATATTTACCTGAAAAGCAAAGCAACACATTTGGACTTTGTTTGGGGTCCGGATTTCCCAAAGCATGATCTTCTCATTACAAGCCCCTCCTGTTGCCACTAGGACATTTCCAAGTGGAACAAGACCCCCAACATAGCAGTCGCCTCAATTTTGAAACCTACAGGGAAAGGCTCAGGAATACCTTAGCATAGCCACCTCTCATTATTTTCTAAGATTAATCTCTAATTGATTATTTTTTCAATAAATCATTTTATTTAGAATTTAAATTCTGTGAAATGCATTTGTTGATATTTCTAGTTCTGGATCATATAGTCATTTTTTTAAAATGTTGTCACTAAGATACGTTATATTTTTTTAAAAGAGCAGCCCTTGAAATTTAGGAAGCATTTGGCCTACATGTTGCTGCAGAGCAGCGCATATTGAAATTTGTTTTCCTTTCATCTCCTTCCCAATAAAGCAGCCGCGTGGCTGATCCCTTCAGCTTCCTCAGAACTTCCTCTCAGAATTCCCGATCTATTACTGCACATTCACATACCAGCAACAAGCTGCCTTTTCATGCTGTCAACCTTTTTCATCTGAAATGTAAATTAATTCTTTCTGGTATGCCTTGACAGAGATCAAAGTCGGTATTAACCTTCCCAGGCTTTCTCCCTGGGAGGACTGGGCAGCCACTGGTTGGAGCTGGTGTCCCCACCATGGGGCCCTCCTCCAGGCAGCCCTCAGAGGAGGAACCTCTGTTTCAAAGGCTCAGAGTCCTTTTGTAAGTGGCTTCTTCAGGGCTTTAAATTGGGGGTAAAACGATCCGCCTGGCTGATTCTTGAGAGATGAGCCTGCTCGGTTTAATTGTGGGCCCTTCCCTCGGATTCCCAGGCTTAGGTTAAGTGGCTCTGAGGAGGAGAGTGATCTTGGTGTGATGGAGGGAGGGACCGGGCTTCAGACTGGAAGCCTCTCCCCTAGCTCAGTGGGTCACTTCTTGCCTGTCAGTCTTTGAGGTAGGCCATATTTGCATTTTCAAAATAAACAGATGCCTTTTAAATACATGAGCTGGTGGTCTGGAGATCTCTGTGGGCCCAAACAGTTCACCAGCCAGTGATCAAATGCTGGAAGAGAAAACATGTGGATAAAACACCCCGGGTACACGAGGGCACATTTCCTATGTGTCTAACCGTGCAGGTAATGAAGGGCCTTTGTGAGCTGTGGGGAGACCAGGGGTGAGGGAGCGTGGGCTCCTATGCCAATGGGTTGTTCGCCAGTTTCCTTTGGGGGCTGGGGGCATGACTTTGAATGTCACCTTGGCAAAAGTGGTATTTTTTTTAATTATTGGTGAAGTTTGATAATACTCTCTTGTCATAGGAAAATGCATTCCTTTAAATGCCAAAAAATTAAAAGAATGTCCTTTTTAAAATTGGTAAATAGATGAGTTATTCTAAGTAAAAATTATTTTTAATGTATTTACTTCATTACTAATCTATCATTTTTTTAATTAGCTGTTACATCTCACAGAATGAATTTAACTACATTCATCCAACTAAAAAAAAGTGCATATTCCTCAGTGAATACTATCAAAACAAACTACCTACAGGGAGTTTCTAAAAGATCTATATTGTCTCATTCTTTGATTTTTTTTATACCACTGACTTTAAAATCACCCTCTAATTCAGGATTCATTTTTTTTTAAAGAGCAAAGTAGTGGGCAATGCCCTCTGAGTAGGTGACCGTGGAACCCTAAGAGCTGGGAACAGAATTTCAAAGAGTGTCTCCCAGAAGGGGCTGGCTTGTCTGTCTCCTTGCCTCCCCTCTTACACACACACACACACACACACACACACACACACACACACGGGCAGGAGAGCCACTGGTTTACAGCACCTTTTCATCTCCTTGCTTCTGTGGAAACTGTTCTCGCTATTCTCCCATGGGCCTTTGCCTACTTCCCTTCTGGGCCCTGCCAACAATACAGCCCTCACCAGAAGATAACAATAGCACCAACATCAATGGCATTTCTCCTCTGATGCCCTCTGGGGGAATGCTTTTCTGGGTGTCAGCAGTGATACTGCAGAGGCCAAGGGGGCGCCTTGAGTCTGTGGACAGGCATTTTTAAACCGCCTGTGATTGGAACCCTGAGTGCTTTAAATGCTGCTTTTGGGAGGGAAAGCAAGCTCCACATCCAGATGGCCTGACTCTGCAAAGGTTTTTTTGTTTTGTTTTGTTTTGTTTTGTTTTTGTATTTATAACTGTCTCAATGTTTAAGCTCTCTCAGGGTAGGGCTTTTTGCTAGCCTTTTCTAACTTAAAGTTAGGTTGTTTCCTTTAGCATTTTTTTTTTTTTGGTGGATTGGTAAAAACTAGGTGGGTGCAACAATTTCCTGGAACCAGATTTCTGCAAGTATCTGTAGGCGTCCCGGACAACTTCATTTTAATCTGGGCATTTCTTTCATTCATTCATTTATTCAACTGTGCTTCGTTTAAGCACACGCTCTATGCTGGGGCCATTATGGTAAACAATAGGATTTGTTTGGGGGCTTCAAATTTTCTGACTCCAATGTAGAGAACTCTAAAATATGCTCCTCCTCAAGGGACCCTATTTGAATAAATGAGAGATCTCTATTATGTCAATAGACATTGTAAAGAAGTTCATAAAATCTAAAACAATGCAAAGGGGCAAGACCCATCTTTAACATAGCCCTGGTTATGCATTGATATCACTCATGCAGGTAGAGATGATCACGGTAGATATTTTCCGTTTTGATGAAGTTGTGCATATGTGGGTTGTTGATCACAAACCAAATAGGAGGAGTGCAAGAGGGACGTTGAGAGAAAGGTCCACATGGAATAAACCAGGGGCACAAGCATGGCTCTGTCCCTTCTTTCTGTGTCTCCATTTGTTGTTCTACATCCACTCTGTTTTTTCTTTACTCCATTTCTCTTTCTTAGAAAGATTCTTGTTCAATTTTCACAAAAACTTAATTCCTCAAGCTTGAGTCCTTGTCAGAGGAAGCACAGGTGTGAGAGAAGACAAGTTCCAAATGCTTCTTGGCCACAGGGCAGGAGGCGGCCACCTCCCCTTTCCTGGCATTTCTGGCTAGAATTCTCACATTAGCAAAGAAACATCTGGAGGAAAAAATTACGTAGTACACCTGGGCTTGAGAGGAGTTGCGAATTGCAAACTAGCTCCCCTGTATTAAAACCTTTGCTTCCCCGATGACAAGGTGCCCTTCAGGCTGAGGCCAGGGGTCCTGCTCAGTCCACTGTCATGCTGTCTTTGTCTCTCCAGCTCTTAGTCAGTGAAGAGCTGGGGCTGATTTCTGACAGCTGTAGGCTTAACATTTTGGAGGGGGAAATGTCGGGGGGGGGGGGCAAGCATCATGATTCACTTTGGGAAAACATGCCTGCTGTGAGCATGGTCAGGACCCACAGACAGCCACCAGAAGTGTGGCTCATAGCGAGTGGTTTACAGCAGGGAAAAGACCAGGCCTGTGGCTTCAGGGTATCTGTCAAGAAATGAGCCTTGCCAAATCTCTCTTTGGCACAAACAAAAGAATTCTTTTCATGGCTTGGTTTGGAATGCAGAAGAATGTCCTTTGCTGTGTAACAAAATTATTGCTATGTTAGGATGGCACAAGCCAGAGGACAGACAGCGTGTTTCCCGTCCACCTAGTACATACACAGAAAGCTGCAAAGTCAATGTGGGCTGGTGGCTTCATATGCTTGTCATTGACATGGCAGGGAAACGTGCTTACCATGAAACTCTGGTGTAGCAATTGGCATCTCCAGGATTTGAGATTAAAAGTTCAGGATGGGACGACCTGTAATCTCAGCTACCCAGGAAACTGAGGCAGGAGGATTACAAGTTGGAGGCCAACTTCAGCACCTTTTGAGACCCTGTCTCAAAATAAAAATTTTTTAAAAAGGAGGGAGAAGCTGCAGGATGTAGCCCAGAGGGAGAGTGCTCTTGGGTTCAATCCTAAGTACCTATACCCAAACACAAAACAAACAAAACTTCAGAGGAAGTCAGTGGTCAAAGCCTCTTTAGTTCAGAAGCTGTTCTCTCCATTATGGCCCTCAGATAGAAGGTCTTTGGGGGATAAAAAGGATGTGCCCAGATGCTACCCGTCTATTGCCATATATCCAAGTTGGCGACCTATGCTGGGTTCACAAACTCTGGACTACTTCAATAACTGAAGAAAATGGTGAAAAAAAGCACACAACACACAGAAGTACCTTTACAAAATCCAGGCACGGCTCTCGACCTTAGGGGTCCCTTGGAAAGAGAGTCACTTGAATCATTTATTCTTATATAGGGGACACACAAGGGGAAGTTCCATGGAACATTCTATCCATAAAAGGTCAGGGGTAGTATTACAAAGGAACAAGAAAGCAGCCCACTCCATTGGGTGACGCCTACTCCCAAAGCTTTGCTCCTCTGCTGAGTGGAGATGGGGATTCACCTGCTTCCCGGTCAGGAAAGCCAGTCGCCACATTTCCATCACTCAAAGCTAGGGGGCGCTCAGCTCCTATATGGCAGCTCCGGACACCCACATCCCCCACACCCCACCCCAGGGCATGGAATGGCAGCACTGCAAACTTTAAGCCATGCCTTCCATTTGTTACAGGAGAAGAATAAAACGTGTTATTACATTTTGTAGCTTATTAGTTCTCTAAGCTTCAACCACACAATAGTGAAGAAACACCTAGAGGAAAAATTAACTGTTCTGTGGCAATAAAGATCAGCCTTCTTCTCCTCAAAAAACTCTTGTGAATAGAAGTCATCGCCCCCAATATATTATCTCCCCTTATGTATCCTGTGAGTTTAAGCATGCTTTCAGAGACTTTTTCCAGTAGACCAGACTCTGCCATTGATGGTCATCTTGGACATGGACATAAGATACCAATCAAAGCTTTGGGAGGAGTTAATATTGCTATCCCACGCATGTGGAGTTTGAAGTCAAAATAATGGGCTTTCAATCCTGGCTATGCCACCATTTGCCATATAGTTTTAAGGGAAACTGCTTAACTTCTCGGCCTAAGTCTTGACAGCTGCAAAATGGGACCCACTAAGGCCTAATTCTGTGGACCGTGTGCAGACTATAGCAGATACTATATGCAAACCTTCCTGCACAGTATCTGGCACGTGATAGATATTGAGCAAATGTTCCCTCTCTGTATCTCTTTCTAAATGTGAAATACTCTTCTAAGGTTAGCATAAGAATGCTGGAACTTCAAAAAGATGAAACTATATCTCTTACTTTCATAGAAAAATGTGCCTGTCAAGTCTTAGATACAGTTACAATAAAATCTTTATGAAAAAAGGAACTGTCCAAGTCTTCACTTATGTCTTGCTTAAGTCATATCTCAAATAGTTACAATAAAATCTTTATAAAAAGATAACTCTCCAAGTTTTAACTTGTGTCTTACTTGTCAGAGGAAAATTAGAACACAATAATAACAGGGGAAGCTGGTTTTGGTTTTGCCTTTGTTTTTGCAAAGAGCTTTGTTCCATGGTTCTGAAAGCTTGATTCAATTGTGTGGATAATTTTTTTTTTTTTTTTGGAAATTCAAAACTGCTTAAAACTTAAGTGATAGATGATTGACACCATTTCCCCCCTCACTAGTTGGAGGCCCTTTTGCAACTTGTTCTGGAAGATAGCAAGTCTGTTCCTTTGCCCACAAAGCCAGAAATTCTAAAGTCCAGGAACTAAATATCACCCAGAGTTGTTGCTTGCTGGTGTGGAAAGAAAGTGGCCTTTTAGATTTCTGAGAT